CGCTTACAGTACGACTTAGAGGTTGGCATTCAATAATAATAATAAAAAACAGTTAGACAGTGCGAGATTTTGTTCATCAAAGTTTTATTTTTACAAACTCTACTCTTTCAACTAGAATTTCGATTTCAACGTACATAAATCCAGCTTCTTACTTCGACTTCTCTTCTATCCACCTGACACTGCACAACTCTTCCTTCTTTTTGCTGTACTCCTTTATCTGTGTGTTATATTCTTATATTCCCATAATTTACTTTAATTTAAGTGGTCAGTATGAATTTTATCTTCACTTACTACTGTATTGACTACTTCAACATGACAGGTTAAGTAGTGCTTTGGTTATATATATACACTTGCCACACTGCTGCCTTTTTCTCTCTCTCTTCTCCTTTTCAGAACCCCATTCACGGTGGGAAATCCTTGGTGACTCTAGGGAACATGTACCCTAGGTACATGAATGTCTGGATCACAGCTCGTATCAAGCGCGTTCCATATGACCTTTCCCAACAAATTCACTATTGATCTCGGCAAATCGCCAAAAGAACCTATTGTGCACCTTCCTTCCTTATTTGTACTCTACTATTGAAAATGTGGCTGTATAATACTGTTTCTGTCAGTGACATGGTGTAAATATGCAATCAGAAACTGACTCTTATACTTAACTTAACTGCTATAACTTTACAGTAATTGTGAAAGCATTTGTGACAATTTGATCTAGCCTGTAAACTGGCATGACTCTTGTAACGTAGTTATTTGAGAATAAATAAATAAATATATATATATATATATATTATAAACGTTAAACTATAGGATAATTTCCACCTAGAAACTCATATGTAAATATTCTCGTAAATCTATACGGGTATTCCGTTATAAATGATTTTATTTAACTGAAAATCATTCTTCAGTGTTTTCTTATCTGTAAACCGATGTTGAAATTATTGAATATGTTCGCAAAACGCAACTGTAAATGCTTTTTAAGAAATATATTATTATCGATATTTAGTTTTGACCTCTTGAACATCCATTTATATGGTGCTAGTTTTATCACTTCGTATTTTTCTAAGTAACGGTATAAAGAACCACATAAATAACTGATAAGTTTATGCTATTGTGTTGTTCCTGTATCAGAGAAACTAGGTGTGGTGTTATCCAATAAACCTTCATTTTTGATCAGTTTCCGTATTCACATCAAATATTACACGTAACGTCTCAACAAAAGCCAACTACGCATTCCCGACAATAGCTGCTACCCTGAAGTGGCGGTCGGTTTTGCCTATCGTGATGACCCAACCGAGCTATATTGACTTGAACACATGTTCCTGAAGGTTCTACCATGCCAGGCAGGTCGATTGGAGAACAATGAGACTATAAGCAACTACTTAAGGTCTGAGGGCGAAGTCGTACTGCTGACTGTAGAGGGGTGTGACAGCAGTAAGGTGTTTCCCTCGGACAACCAGCATCTGCAGCGATGCTGCCTTCTCACAAAGAAGGTAGGGGTTAGAAAAGATCGAATCTAGAAATGTCGCACCTCACCTTACCTCACGGATTTCGGTCTCCGGTGGTAAGGCCATTTAAGAAGCGGAGCGAACGCTAAAAACTTCTCACAAAAAGGTCGTGCGTGACCGGCCCTGAAGCATTTGTCCGTTGAGCTGTGCGGTCACGCTGCCAGGTCGTTAAGACCTCCTCAAGAAACATCTCTCCCCAATGTGGACAGCAAGGGAGACCGAATCCTCCATAATAAAACCCTTCATATACCTGTTAGTAATTATCTTACCTTCACGACTAACCGTTCTCACACTTATTTGTCACCTGCCGCCGCTGATGAAGACGGTTTGAGTACATTAATTGTTATTCCTGGTCTCTTGAAACCACGATCTAAACTACATGTTGGAGCTTTTAATGTCCGGACATTGTGCTACGTAAAACAACAAGCTTCACTAGCTAAGACTTTAGAATCTGGTGCCATCGATGTATGCTGCGTCTCCGAAACGCGCGTTCGGAATCCGAGCGAAACCATTAATTTGTTAAGATAAAGAACCGTCTGGATTTACGCTACGTGCATCTGGAGCCCTGCTGCTGCTTCCCGTGGCCTCGCTTGCGCAAAAACAACATTGAGCTCTAAGGGCAGAAGTCCTCTTGTGACAATTACAGAAGAATAAGTGTAGCTATTATAGTTTCCGAAATTTCGGCCTAAATAGTACTCGGAAGCTTAATGATAGCTCTTCAAGAGAAGACTATTGAAAACCAGGTTGATTTCAGACCTGGACCTATATGTATAGACCAGATATACAAACTATCTCAGGTCCTAGAACAAAGACACGTTCAGACCTCGCACAATAGTAGTATTTCTCGACCTTAAAGCGGCAGTCGACCCTGTTGATCGTGATATCTGTCATTAAAAGGTGTACCGAAGAAGTATATTAACCTCATAGAAGCTCTCAACTCGAACACTACTGGTCGAGTAATAGTTTATGGCGAAATATCTTTGGAATTGATTACTTCAAGTGGTGTCCGTCAGGATTGTCTACTCTCTCCGTTCTTGTTTAGCTTTGTCGTAGACATGCTTTTAGAGTTAATGCTACCTTCGCCTGACTTTTCAGTAGTTGACCGTCTACGAGGAGACACGGTTGTTGACTTGGAATATGCCGATGACATAGGTCTATTTGGTGAAGATGCTGACAAAATGTAGTCTTCTACTACTCGAAGCAACAATGCAAGCATGTTCGGTATGCGGTTCTCACCCTCAAAATGCAAAATGTTGCTTCAAGATTGGGTTGCGTGAGCACCTGGACTAGTGATAGGGATTGAAGTAGTTGAGCGTGTTGATCACTTCACTTATCTGGGGAGTCTCATCAGTGTTGGTAGCCTGGTGACTGGCGAAATGTCAGCAAGGAGACAGAAAGCTCGATTGGCTTCTCCCAACTTGTGTCACTTATAGCGCAGCCGAGATATTCGTTGACTGCGCGGCAAATCGCTCCGTCCTATTATATGCACACGAAACATGGCCGGTAACAGTAGAAGATATTCATAGGTTATTAGTATTCAATTATAGATGTTTTCGATGCGTCGCTCGTGTATCCTGTGGTAGCCGAGTAGGCAGTGCTACCATTACGGAACGAGTTCTGGGTAAGGATGACAGATCAACTGATGAAGTGATGAAACTCCATCTGGTGGTCGAGACGTGTGTATCTATGCTCAAACACCGGCTGCCTCGCTGAGCGATGTTTTTTGGTGTTGGAGTAGGTTGGAAGAAACCTAGAGGCTGCCAAAGCTTACATGTGACACCAATCCTTGTAGTCACTGACGAGTGGACGAAGTCATGTTAGTTGATGTAGACTGCCTGGTTGGGGTCCGTGAGACAAGATTGTGTGATAGTTAGACTTTTTGATTGACATGGCTCAAAATCGTTTGCAACGGCGCAGGTGCATCTACTCTTTGCGTTCTCTCAAATTCTAATCTTCCGAATTCTTCACCACCTCCGTCTTTCTCTTTCTAAATTTATCTCACTGAATTATGCTTCTCAAACCATATCTTTGAACACTAATCTTTTCCATTGCTGATAATACTTCTACTATCTGTACCACTATGGGATTTGAACTGACCTTCGTCCACTCAATATCTCTTAGTGCCAATGTGGTATGGCATCCTGAATTTATCTACTTACGTACAAAGTTCTACGCCATAACTGACTGTCAGTCCTATAAATGTTCCTCATGCCTTTCCGAACATTTCACCAATTTCAGATTCGGTACAGCTGCAACTTCCAAACTATTCTCTTCAAATTTGTAAACAAATGTTATTTTCCATTATTCCAGGCACCAGTTAAGTAACTTTAGGCTCTCTAAATGTAAGAGTTATTAAAACTTTAATTAAAATTATTCTTCAGACTTTAAAAACAGGATCCAAGACAACAGATTATTGATGCATCGAAAACGAAACTAATCCATCTTCTCATTTCTTTCTTACCAGCCCATTTTTGAAGTAGTAACCAGATATTTTAGGAATTTCTACATAATGAGAGACCATAATTTTTTCTTCGATTCCATTAACTTAGGCAGCTAAAATCTGTTTCCTAAGAAAAGATAAATATATCACAAAACTAAGTGAACACAGAATACATGAAAGCAGTTATAAAAGGGTTCTCTTTTAAGAGGATTAAAATTACATGTGAAATCCAAGAGAATTGTCTTGCCGAGAGCGAAGATCGGATGAAAGTCGCAAACGAATGTATGGACTATTAGACGAGCATGATTATGTAAAATTTATACATGGAAACACTAACGAACAACAGCACGAGCTTAAACAGGAATACACGTTGAAGGACTATATGAGCAAAAATTTATGGCGTGACTGTTTTTCTAACGAATTATTTGCAATTAAATGTCATTTTATTCTCCGAACTTCTCAAACAGATCTTAGGTATGTTCATTTGCATGGTATTGATATTCCACTTGCTTGGTACCATGGAAAAGTACATTTTGCCTATGATTACTACATACTTATTTCATGACAATGATTATGAAGTGATCAGAATCAAACATTGCAGTACATTTACGACCAATTAACATTCCTAATTCGGCAATGGAAGCCTAATACGGCAAGACAACGGCTGGAGAAATCAGTGAAGCCTTTTTAACCTAGATATAAAATAATGGTATGAGGGCATGAATTGATTTGATGCACGCGATTTAATACGATCCAATGAAGGTAGTAATATCAGATTTGTGATCGTAAAACAGAACTGCCTAGTGAACGAGGTTTGATAATGTAATGTAATGATAATTGACAGATATCCAAACACTAAGGTGCATCGCCGTATTTCCGAATAAGATAGGTCATTCAGAACAACTTAAAACATGATTCCAATGTTATTAAAGGGTAAATACAGATAAAAAACTGGAAACTCTCTTCCAGGTTTCTATAAGATATTTTTTCAAAAAATTATTTCAACTCCCTATTCAGTTGTTTAAGTCATCGATTTAGCATTTAACTTACGTACCAAATATTTGAGCCTTTCAATATTTGTGTCTTGATATCGTGATTTATTTCGTTATGGAGGGATATGATTCTAGAAAGCCTCCGAGCGTTCGAGTAACTGTTCTAGAGGATCCAAACAGTAGCCTTCAAGAACTTTTCAACCCTGCGTCACAAAGGCAGCAGGTTCCTTTACATCAGCGTAATCTTCCAAAATCTTTTTTCGTTCCGCCTGGAGATGTGAATGACAATTCTCGATTTTCTAAACTTAACTCTTTACACTGTAACGAAAGAAATAACTCGGACTTTGTTGTGTTTCATAGCAAAGCAAACTCATCTCCAGCCTGTTTGGATGCTGCACTTCGAACATCTGTTTCTGTAAATGCTCCTAACCACAGTCATCAAAAAAGTCTTGATGTTGCATCTAAATTCAAGATAGAATTCAGCCCAGATTTAGTTTTTTCTGGCTCTTGCAACTCAGGCATCTTGCAAGGACAAAGGTATACAACCCTATTTATTTTTATTGACTTATGCAATAGAGATTCACAACAAACTGCTCTGCTTTATAGACCGAGCATGACATTTGCTATAAGCGAGCTCCCAGTTGGATATGACATGGCGATAAATGAAAGCAATCAAGTTTATTTCTTGAATCACCAGACACAAGAAACTACGTGGTATGTTCTCTTATTTTTTGTTAAGTTTTGTTAAGGTTTGATCCTAGAATACCAGAAAAGTTCCAGAAATGGGGTATGACTCCAGAAGAACTTGAGCAAGTGCATTTACGCTACGCCAAGCAATTTTTATGTACAAACCCATCTTCAAATTTGAATGTATGTGTACAACAGGTTGGTGAATTCTATGAGATTTTATTTATTGTCATAACTGTAACACTAGTACCTAAGTTATCTCATATCAATTAACCATGTTATGAATGAGGTTATATGAAATCTGTAATTTTCTGGCAGTTATAGTGGTCATGAATTTGACTGATTTTTAGACTGATTTATGACATGTATTTGATCAGAGTTAATCGTCACATTTATTAAAGTTTAGCTCGATATAATTATCTGAAATACATCAGCATCTTACTAAATTCGGTTATTTTGAAGATCTTTGATTCGTATTTGAGGACTAAAAATCTGTGATAATAAACACTGTTGGGCCTTAAATAAAGGGAAATGGAGAGAATGTCATTCTCGGTTGTTCAAAATACTATTTGTTGTAGTTATTATTAGTTTTTAATGTTCACAGTCCGATATACGCACATGAAAGTCTGTTATTTCCACCTTTGAGGTCACTCAGTTGGCCACACCTGTTTACAAAAGCCGATCGGCAGTCAGTCAGCTACAGTGTAGAACGTGGCACGCACGTACATAAGTTCAAGTTGCTACACCACAATGTCAAATATCGAGTCAGCAAATCAAACTCCATAGTAGTAGAGGTGGTAAAGGTATTAGAGGTTTTGGAACAGATTAAGATTTGAAGAAATTATTCAGAAAGTATAATCCACTGAAATAAATTTAAAAAGCTATAGAAAACGTCCTGAACTCATGAGGTCATGACAGAAGACAAAGAATCGATGCAACTGCACTGACCAAGTTAATTAGTCTTTTGTTAAGCCGTACTTTCTGGCAGACTTCTGAAGAAACATGAAGTGTCACTTGCGTTGTTGTGTATCGATTTCCCTGAGTTAAAATACTATGAATAATGATGCTACAAATTAGTAATCTATCTTCAGTTGCATTACTGTCTTAGCTCATGGTTTGTTAATTTCTGGATTTATAGAAATAATGAAGAAGCTTTCTGTAAATTTCAAAAGTTTTAGTTTTTAGATGAAGTATTTTGCTGTGAAATGATCCCTTACATGCATATTTATCAGATTTAATTGTCGTAACTCTGGTTAACTTGATTTTGTTTGCAGAAAATATTGGTTATATTAGCACGTTTTACACTATTTAACCGACAGTAGTTGACATTCGTTTTAGGTTAGTAAACATCCACATTTCTGATTGATTCCTGGACCTAGTAACAATCATAATGATAATATAAATAAAAATTAGGTAAATAAAAGCCGCTAATTATTTTTGATGCAAAATACTGTTTTTACGTATTTATTTTGCAGACCGTAAGTTTTTCAATTACTACATATTTTATTAAACCAAATGGGTAAAGTGGTTGTTCATTCATAAGGTACGCCGTTTGGTTGAATATGAGTTTTTCTGGTCACATTTTCACCAGGCATCATGTATCACACTGAAAAATTCACTCTGAGTATTTCATACCGAGATCATTTGATATGCATATTACTCTTAAAGTTCCAACTTAGTTTACTGTCTATCACAACTCTCTTCTTATGTCATTTCTGATTGCTAGAAATTATTAATTTCATGCAACTGAAAATATCAAACGGTTATTAAGCTATTCTGAAAAGATAGATCTTATATTTTTCTAAACTCTCTTACTATTATTGATCTGGCTATGAAGGTTCTTCGGTTCTTTTTCAATAATGAAATAAGGTTACTTTGATTTGTTTACAACGAATCACTTGATGTATAATAAGCCTGTTATCGACTGACTTTTAAATAAAAAACGGCTATCTTCGTTTTGATGCATTTTAGTTATGCTGTGAAATTGCACAATTTATTTATAAGATAGGTTTTACATAAGGTAAAACACCAAAATATACTTCATAACAGATTTTGAGTGTCCAAAAAAGTACCGTAAAATTTTTATCAACTCTTCAAGGATAATATTTTACAGCATTTGTTCACTGGCTAAATTTATACAACGGTTAAATCATACAACCCCATGAAAAACATGAGATATCCAAAAGGACCTCCAATTTGCTCTTTTAGTAGTCAAGCAATAAACAAAGTAATAAACATATCGTTGGCAAAGAGTTTAAAATCCCAAGTAACTTAACTCTATTTACGGTTTCGATCAAATTTCATTGAAATTGTTTCTTTTAAATAACCAAGTTTGAAAGAAAAAAATCACCGTCAACTAGAGATAGTATATCGAAGCTGAAGACTAAAATTCGAAAAGTCACCATGAGCAGAAACTCTTCTTAGTAAATGTCTAGTCATAATTATCTTTATTAAAAATTATTTAGAAAAACCTGACGAAACTAAACAACATGACAAAAATAATCTTCGTGTAATTGGTTGTTTCGGGTATATCAATCAAACCCCAACCCCACTTTAAAGCAACTAAACCACATTCCTAATGATGAAAAGATAGCAGCTTCAACTTGCTACATTTTGAAACTCGGAGGAAAATGAAAGCCTTTCTGGGTATCAGAAAATCGATTGGAGAACAGCCCAATATACACCATATATTTATCCTTTACTTACATCAAGCTAAGTTGATCCACTATCTGGTTTGTCATTTCGATTGAACTCATGTTTTTAGCTTCACTAAGTCTTACGGCCGATTTTCAAAACCGAGGCCATGGATGTGCAATGCTATGGATTCCACCACTACAATAAAATGGCCATTTAATGCCTCAACATTCTCGTTGACTGTCCAGCTAAGATCAGTTTGTGACTTTATATGTCAAAAATATAGACTTATTTGTTTATAAGTATAAATAAGTCCAATACATCATAGTTATTTTTTGACTCTTAGATACTTATTTATTCAGAGGTATTAAAAATCGTTTTTAAACTAACTACAATAATTTAATTAACTTCAATGAACTTAAACTTTATGAAATAGCATATGATCTTAGGTAGGCATCAAAGTCCCTTCAAAATAAGAGGCCTACTAATGGCATGATATTATATATTCTTGTCAGATAATTTAGTCTTATTTGGAATAAATAGCATTTAAAAGGTTTAGTAATCAAAACGTTTACTAATTATTATATAAGCATGTTCAAATTAAACTTTCCGTGCTATCTAGATCTCACTGTTGGTAAAATTCTGTCAACAGCATTTGCAGTACCTTCGATTAGGTAAACAAGTAAAACATCTTATCACACCAAGTGTTTTTGATGGTCGGTGATATCTTATGGTAATCCCTTAAGTACATGATATTATCTGTTTAGTCACTTGAAAAAATTTTGTAATGTTATTTGATGAAGATTTGAATGGTATCGATAAAGTTTTTTCAAGACACTTTTTATAGATACTGCTAATCAGTTCAAACATACAGTAAATTAGTATTGTTTTATTGCTTACAAATCTGAAATATATTTAACTTTCGGTTATAATAAGTATTAGACGACCAATCGTTTCCCTTTTTATTTCTATAAATTTTATGATGAGTTTACCCTATTAGACAGTTATACCTAATATTTAAGAACATAAATTGATGGTAATGAAATTATTTCCAGCTGTTTATCTTACTTGTGCAATCAGATTAAATTTGAATTTATTACTGTACAGTATACTTTCATAATTTTAAATTCAGAGGTTCAGGGTGTTTTTCAAACTTTGAATGATGTCTCATAACTATTTTGATTCATATAAGAATATCTTGAGTAATTTTGCCTAAATGCCTAAAAATGTTTATTCAGTTACTTCAAATGAGTTGAAATTATGCCTGGTATAATGAAAAAAGCACACATTTTGTCAAATTTAACCAATTCATCATTTAGAGAGAATAGTATCTTAAATAATAAAACACTGTAAAATACCTTACTTATCCACATATCGTACTAACAAAGAAACTTTGTCTTATTCAATAAACTAGTTATTGATTGTGTTATAACCAGGTAGAAAGTTAAACTTCGGCAACTGAGTTTTATCAGAAACATTAGCATATACTGAAACGCCAAAAATTGATGATTCTTAAATGAAACAAGTCGTATTTCGTATCTCTTATTACTAGTCATGCTCAAATATAATCAAGATACCGGATCTCAACCATCAATTGTTTGTAGATGTTAAAATCACATAGAGACACACTTTTTTGCTGACTCAAATACACCGTTTACATTGATAGCAAAAGTTAAATAAGAAAGCCTCCATTTTAAAAACGTATTTCACAACATTAGGTGTACTTTATAAGAATGTGATATTTCTGAAACTACAGTACATTTATTCTCCCAATGACTTCAGTCCTGAATTCTTTGATAGACAATGCTTGGAATTCAATAACAATATCATAATTTGCAACAAATATTTCTCTTTGATAAGTTACTTATTCAATTGTCTAACAGGTTTGTGTTCAATATAAAAAAATTATAAATGAACATAATATTCGAAGCATAATAATACTGAAGAGTGCTACAAATACATTTTTCAACTGGTAAATAAATATTTATTCAATAAATTAGTAGATCATGATAATTTCTCAGACTGATCAAACTATTCTGTTTTGATTTACAACTGTGAATATTTCATTCAAATTTACCGCTGTTGCTTCAGATAAGATTTGTTTACGGATCAAGTATTTCACTCAATAAATTAGGGATTTTTATGAACTTTATAGCAACAGAATTTTAATTAGCTATTATACAGTCAGCGATTTGATTACAAATGTATCATGGTTTCAGTTCAGCAGTTATATTTAATCAAGTATCCTCCATCAAATGTTAAAAGAATAATTTGTGTTGAATGAAGCATAATTTACTATTGATTTTATTCCTTAACTGAAAACCAACAATCGCGATGTTGGATTTATTCAAAAATTAAAAATCTAAAACTTAGGTATCAGTTTCTCCAAGATCCCAACTATCGCTCAATGATGATTGTAGGCTAGCATTTAATCAAAATACAGGGGTTTCTGCAGACTATTTTCAACCACTTAACATTCAGACAAAGTACACACGATGTCAGGCTACGCAGACTAGAAGCTATATTTCATGAATTTGATCAATACTAAG